CTCTCTCTCTCTCTCTCTCTCTCTCTCTCTCTCTCTCTCTCTCTCTCTCTCTCTCTCTCTCTCTCTCTCTCTCTCTGTAATCCCCTCATCCTCTCACCCTCTCGCGCCGCGGGGTTAAAAGGGACTCCGGGAAGGTGCTAAAAAAAGACGTGGCGAAAAAAATTACGGGTAAATTGAGATGAAGGGTAGTCGACTGCTTCGCCTGTCTCGTAATACGTGCACTGTAATAAAGGACTGTTATGTATAAAACAAAGCCACTCGACGTTACATCGTTGAGGCGTTTTGATCGATCGGATTGTTAATGGGATCGTCGATGGACGATCTGTTTTAATGCGTTTAAACAAGGAGAGAAAGAACCATCGAACTACCGACAAGGTAAAACATGATCAAGCCCACAACCGTCTCGACTCGACGGAGAAATCGCGCAACATTATCTGACGTATCGACTGCAAATGGAGAGCGCAAATGTGAAATTGTTGAACGGCGAAGTTAACTCTTTTCAGAAATTCCCTTCAAAGGATCTTACTCGTACATTCTTTTTCAATTCTCCCCGTTTTGTGTGTATATCGGACGCGTTTGCGATATACATACACATATACAGACATAATAAAATTGAATGCAAGATATAGGCGTTTTTGCTGATTATGAATATGAATATGAATATAAATATCAAGTTTTACAAATATGAATATGAAGTCAAATGTGTAAAATTATTTGTATAAATAATAAAATGTTCAAACAAAACATGTAAAAAGTAGAAAAAAATTATTTTTGAAAATTTCTCGGTTTGATCGAAATTCGAACCATTTTTGACTATGAAGTCAAATTGAATATGAAGTCAAATGTGTAAAATTATTTGTATAAATAATAAAATGTTCAAACAAAACATGTAAAAAGTAGAAAAAAATTATTTTTGAAAATTTCTCGGTTTGATCGAAATTCGAACCATTTTTGACTATGAAGTCAAATTGAATATGAAGTCAAATGTGTAAAATTATTTGTATAAATAATAAAATGTTCAAACAAAACATGTAAAAAGTAGAAAAAAATTATTTTTGAAAATTTCTCGGTTTGATCGAAATTCGAACCATTTTTGACTATGAAGTCAAATTGAATATGAAGTCAAATGTGTAAAATTATTTATATAAATAATAAAATGTTCAAACAAAACATATAAAAAATTGAAAAAAATTATTTTTGCAAATTTCTCGGTTTGGTCGAAATTCGAACCATTTTTGACTGTGAAATCAAATTGAATATGAAGTCAAATGTGTAAAATTATTTGTATAAATAATAAAATGTTCAAACAAAACATGTAAAAAGTTGAAAAAAATTATTTTTGCAAATTTCTCAGTTTGATCGAAATTCGAACCATTTTTGACTATGAAGTCAAATTGAATATGAAGTCAAATGTGTAAAATTATTTGTATAAATAATAAAATGTTCAAACAAAACATGTAAAAAGTTGAAAGAAATTATTTTTGCAAATTTCTCGGTTTGGTCGAAATTCGAACCATTTTTGACTAATTTAGTAGAGATTTGAAATATTTTGGTTGAAATCTTGGCTAAAGAAATTTAGAATGATTCGTGTTCCAGCTATGCCGACTTTGTTAAAATTTTAATTAAAATTGTCGGATTTCGGTTTGACCAAGATTCGAACCATTTTTAATTAATTTAGCACAAATTTGAAATATTTCGATTGGAATCTCGGCTAAAGAAATTTAGAATGGTTCGTGTTCCAGCTATGCCGATTTTGTTAAAATTATTTAACTGTATCTTGTATTAAATTTTATTTCTTATGCATTTTTGTTGTACTTGATGATAGAAGTGAAAACATTAAAAAGCTATAAACTGCCCGTGAAACTCAACACACACACACACACACACACACACACACACACACACACACACACACATATATGTAGAGAGAGAGAGAGAGAGAGAGAATATTTCAAAATAAGAAATATTTATTCAATAGATATTAATAATATATTTGTTTGTATTAATATACATATTTTCATATTGAGGAAAAATTTCTTTCAAATGCAGAAATATATATTTTCCTAAAACATCGTTGCCTTTCATAAAAGCAACAGTTTATTCTACTTTTATTTTTTCTCTTATTGTATGTGTACCTAGTAGTAAATGAAACGATCTTTAGCTTCCTGATTATGGCCCATTTGGAGCGTTTAAGAGGAGTCCAAGTGGGCCATATAACTAGCTTCCAGCAAGCTGCGCGATCGCTTCATTTTCAATCGGTTATACATTAGTGTGTTCAACTGCAATCTATCGCGCGAATGTCTCAGCAGAATTTTACTAAATCTCGCTTCTTCCGCATACCCACACATCTCTGCCAAGGTCCCGCTCTGCGCTTTACTTCTCACGCTCTTCATGAGAATGGAAGGTTATCTTTCTCGTATCGGCGCAACCAACAGCAACGAGAGTTGCATCGCATACGCGCATCTAACGACCGGCGTAGTTAGCGATTTATTAGATACATACGCGTACGCACGTACGTAAGTACGCACATTTCCCGCGCGTCCAAAGTCTTTCGCGGTAGATATGCGATAACGAGCACTGAGGTTCGAGTTCGCATACCTAGTAGTACTGTTCCCCGCCTTAATGTGCGTTCGCCAACTTGCACGGCAGGATGAAGCCATTAATTACGGTAGGACGAGCCTAAGAGGTTGATGATACGAGTAAACCGAGTTCCAAGGGACCGTATTACATGCGGCTCGATATACGTGGGTATGTACATGGGTAGCATAAAAGATACATAGGGTGTCCGACAAGTCACTATGGTGCTGCGGCGAGCAGGTGGAACAATCATTAACCTGAGCGAGAGGTATCTAGTATTTTTCAAACAACCACGTGAAATTTCGAGAGATTAATGAGAGAAAAGAGTGACGAATTAGAGAGCGCGCGATGTTGCGGGACGAGCTAGAAACTGAAATGTGTTGTCAAAACACTTGCTACGTTTCTAGCAAAATCTGCAATATTTCTAGCGAAATTTACGAGCAAAATAGGCCTCACACGAAAAATAATTATTTTTGTATATTTTATAATAATATAATATATAATAATTAATTATAATAATAGATTATGTGTATAAAGATGTTTAAACAAAATATGTAAAAAGTTGGAAAAAAATTATTTATACAAATTATTTCTCGGTTTGACCGAGATTCGAACCATTTTTGACTAATTTAGCACAGATTTGAAATATTTCGGTTGGAATCTCGGCTAAAAAAATTTAGAATTGTTCGTGTCTAAGCTATGCCGATTTTATTGAAATTATTTAACTATGTCTTGTATTCATTTTTATTTCTTATGCATTTTTATTGCACTTGTTGACGATAGAAGTGAGAACATTAAAAAATTCTAAACTGCCCATGAAACTCAAAGTGGGCCAAAATGAAAAAATATGATCTAAATATTTTTTGTAATTCTACATTTGTGTCAAATTAGAAAGAAATCGGAGTGTAACTTTTGGATAGGTTTACTTGTAAATGTCCGGTGCGCCGAACTTTCGTTTCGACAACAAAGTCTAAAATAGAAAAATGTCCAAATCCAAAAGTTCCAAAAGTTACAAAAATGATTTTTCCGGATGTACATGTAACAAACGTATCGTTACGTTCGCATGAATTCAAACGACCGTCGCGATACATCGCGGCAAATTGAGAGATTCCCCGAATTCATAGCTGGAAAATGGCAACATTTTTTTCTCTCGACGAGAACTGCAGCTTCATCCGGTGTTCGGCGGTGCAATTAATCCTCTGAGAATTGCTGGACAAACAAATTCTCCCCGTTTGGAGACGGACACGTCGCGAAATCTGTCGAAAGGAAGAAAAATGTTGCAACTTTTCCGCTCCGCCGCACCCCGCGAATATATGAACGCGAGAGAACGCGACGGCTGCTGATATTTGCAGTTTCGCTCGCGGATAAACAAAGGCCCGAGCACGACAAAGATTTGCGAGGGAACGGCACGTAATGGATCGAGCGAACGAGCACTCCGATTTTCTCGATACGCTTGAGGGGCGATCACAGGCATATGCTGCTATCTTCGGAGCGATTCTTCGATGATAGTGACGAAACACCGCGTAGGAACCTGTGAGTCAAGCGAGTTATTATAGATCGCGAAATCACGCTCGCGCTCACGGCACTTTTCCCAGTTAGCAGAAGGGACGCGTAGGACAGGAATCGCTTGAGAGAAGCGCACACGACCGAGTTATAAGGAGAACTCTCCATGAGCGGGACGACTCAAAATAAATTCAACACTCATCGTCCCGGCGACATCGACTCCACGTACTACATGAATCCCCTCATCTTCAGCTGGAGAGCGAAAACACGCTTCAGCCAAACGTACGGAGGAGTTTAAGAGACGCTTCGACGAAATTAATTCTCTGTAATACGAGCGTGCTCCAGTTAGCAATCAAAAATATCGCGAGCTCATTTCATTTACAGCGCATGAAATGGGCTGTAATTATATTTCAAAATGGCAAAATCGACGGCCGCTTATGATGGTATGAC